ACAAGCACATATTTCAAAATCCTAAACTATAACTGCATATTCATTAAGGAATTTAAAATTTCAAATCACACTTCATCCGGGACAAGTTCAATTATGTAACTATAATAATATGATATGTATTTATTCAGTTTCAGTTGATATAATACTATTAGTAAACATAATACTAGAGTAAGTTTAAAGAATAAAGAGTGTTTTGTTTTGGGCAAAAATATCTAGGTGGGATATAGGAATGAAATCAACAGTTAAGATAAACAAAAATGATCCGTAGCTCGAATATTTTGGGCTCGAATCGCTCGAAAGTACACATTTCTCTCTCCTCTCGATCTCTTCCCTTGCCCTCTCCGCCTTAGCAGTTCACTGTACCACCTTCAACAAATTGCAAGAAATCAGCACTCTCTCCTCTCTCTCACTCGTGCCTCATCCCTCTCACCTCTCTCGCCTCTTCACTTTCGCCTCTCTCTCCTCTCTATCTCTTCACTCTCGCCTCTCTCACCTGTCTCTTGAAGGAGTACGAAGGACGACGAGACGGTGGACGAAGGACGACGAAACGGTGGACGAACGACGACAGGGGACGAATTATTTCCCAATTGAGAATTTATGATGCTGGATTTTCTTTCTTTGATGTTAGGTTCTCAGGGTATCCATCTGAAACTGGATCAATCCCTTCTGTCTTTAGGAGGGAAAAAATTATGGCCATGCTGTAATAAAACCAGTTAAATTTTAGAATAATTTGGTTAAAGAATTAGAAAATTTGGCAATTTAACTCTTTTTCACATTTGACTTGGAGTTTGAAGATGAGAATTTCAAAAACTTGACTTTGTTTCTGTAAAATTTGGAAGTTGAACCCATGAATATGACTATTTAATGTTGAGATCAAATGAGATCTGGACAAAAGAGAAGGTGAAGGTGACTTGGAGTTTGAAGATGAGAATTTCAAAAACTTGACTTTGTTTCTGTAAAATTTGGAAGTTGAACCCATGAATATGACTATTTAATGTTGAGATCAAATGAGATCTGGACAAAAGAGAAGGTGAAGGTGACTTGGAGTTTGAAGATGAGAATTTCAAAAACTTGACTTTGTTTCTGTAAAATTTGGAAGTTGAACCCATGAATATGACTATTTAATGTTGAGATCAAATGAGATCTGGACAAAAGAGAAGGTGAAGGTGACTTGGAGTTTGAAGATGAGAATTTCAGAAACTTGACTTTGTTTCTGTAAAATTTGGAAGTTGAACCCATGAATATGACTATTTAATGTTGAGATCAAATGAGATCTGGACAAAAGAGAAGGTGAAGGTGACTTGGAGTTTGAAGATGAGAATTTTAGAAACTTGACTTTGTTTCTGTAAAATTTGGAAGTTGAACCCATGAATATGACTATTTAATGTTGAGATCAAATGAGATCTGGACAAAGAGAAGGTGAAGGTGAAGGACCTTGAATGAACATGCCCACAGAGGATAAAATGATGTTTGGCTGTGGGACTTCATTCAAGCACACGCCCACAGAGGATAAAAAACAACATTCGGGCCACTCTCGAGCCACGCTCTTTCGAGCTACGAATCGTTGTTGTAAGATAAAATAAATAAATAAATAAATAAAAATGCGGCGGTTTCTTGCGGGTGCGGGTTAAACCTGCAACCCGCCCCCAATTCGCAAACATGTCATATTTCAAACCGCATCCGTTTACATTGTATTTGCGAAACCGCCCATTTGTATACGGGTTGGGCGGTTTTTGCAGATCGGATAAATCGTTGCCCACCCCTAATAGAAAGAGATACAGAGGAGTTTTAGAGAGTCATGGAAAGAAAGAAAATATATATAATAATATATAAAGAGTTTAGGCCATGTTTTGGGGTGCACCTAACTAAAGATTAGTTAATTAGATATATGAGTGATAGATTAGTTATTTCCTTTAGAATAGTACTTCCAGAGACAGGAGTGATGGATTAATTATTTCCTTAGACTACTAATTTTAATATTGATAGAACTAACATGGGGTGTCGTAATAAAAATTGAGTGTGGGAATTAACTTTGAAAGACTATTATACTTCTTATCTTGCATCAAATAAAAAGATATTGGGATTGTTTGTTGCAGTTTTTTAGGGTGATTATAACTTATTTTGATTTAGGAGTCTATGTCAGATTGTTTGGTGTAGTTTTTGTTTATAACTTATTAGACAGAAATAGCTTAAATAAGCTAAAAAAAATGTTTGAAAGTTGGGGTAAAGGTGCTTTTAACTTCTACTTTCTGATTATCAACTTTTAACTGAAAAAAAATTCACCAAAGAAGGCCATTATTAGAATTTCATATAGTTTTTTTTTATTTTTTTTATTTTTTTTCAAAAGTTGCATTGGTTAATTTATTAAATAAGATGGATTAAAATATTTTTAATATTATTTATTTTCCAAATAATTTGTTTGTGAAAGAGATATTTAAAAATTTTAATAAATACCAAGAAATGTGATTTTTTTTTATATTTAGTGAATTTTTAAATAATTTTTACTCAAAATTCATATTTTTTAAGTGTCTCTAAATTAAGTGAATTTAAAAAATATAAAAAAAATAATATTATTAAAAAATACTAAAAATTAAAAAAAAAATATGTGTTTGGTTTCAATTTTTAAATTCAGTTTTCTGAAAATTGAGTTTTTTATTTTACGTATTTTTTTTTCTTTTTAGTGAATATTTTTTAAATTTAAGTAATTTTTTTATTTTTTTTATATGCACCTTACTTAGTTGTATCTAAATAGTAAAATATTTGTGAAAAAATATTTTAAAAAATTAATAAATACACAAAAATAGGGAAAATGTACTTAATTTTCTTCTTTTTTTTTTGTATTTTTTGGTATTTAGTGTATTTTTTAAAGATTTTTTTCACAAATATTATACTTTTTAAGTGTATTTATGTTAAGTGTGCCTAAAAATTAAAAAAAAATACTTAAAATATTTAAAAAATTCATTAAAAACATGACAATACAAAAAATAAAAAAATAGATTTTTTTAAAAACTAAAACCAAACAAGCTGATTAATTTTTTTTAATACTATCTTTAATATTATTAATCCGGTAACGTACAAATAAATATTATTTATCTTATATCTCTAATCTAATACTACTACACTAATAATTTTTTTATTTAATCTTTTCATTTTCTTACTCCCCTCCATGCTATGCGCCCAAATAAACGGGAACAGGGAGCTTTTGATGGCCCTTCCATGAAAGGACGGTGAAAAAAACAAAATAAAAAATAAATAAAATGATACAAACGCGTCCATCTTGTCGGAGTTAGGGATGCTTCTACGCAGCGGCAACTGTTGTGCAGTAAAATAGATCTATTTTGAGTTTTATTTTGATAATTTAAATTGTTCATATTTTAAAATATATTAAGTAGAATATGTCTTCAAAAAATCAAGTTAATCAGATATAGTTTACTCATTAATCCACTACATTTATATTCATTTTAATACTTTAAATCACAATTGTTTTTTATTTTTGTAGATACAAATGCGAGTTGATGAATAGGTAAACGATATCCGATTAACTTGATTTTTTGTAGGCATGTTCTATTTAATGTATTCTAAAATATGAACGGTTTAGATTATCAAAATAGACCTCAAAATAGGTCCATTTTGCTGCACAACAGTTGCTGCTGCACAGCCCGCGCAGCAGCGTTTCTAATTCCGTTTTCGTCCTCTTTTTATCATTTAGATTTTTTTTTTTTAACACAGAATTTTTTACATGAATTTTATAGAAATGAGAATAGTTTTGTTTTTTGAACAAATAGAAACGAGAATATGACGTTAGGTTTAGGCTTCGCTTGGAAAGTGGGTTGGTTTTTTGGCTTTTTGACTTTTTTGATTATTTTAGCCTAGGCTAAAAAGTTTGGTTTGGGAAGGATTTTTTGGCTTTTTTGACTTTTTTTTGTGAGAGAAGAGTGTAATGATTATGGATTTGATGTGATGTTTTGTTTGTTGTGCCTAAAATAGCCTATTTTGTCTTTTGTGGCTATTTTAGCCAAAAAAAGCCCAAAAAGCCTCTTCCCAAATAGAGGCTTAATAATTTATTTTTTTATGGTAACCCATGATATTTTAGTGAGAAAGATGCATTATTATTTTAAGGGTAAACTATCAATAGGTCTTAATAGTTAGACTTAATTCCCATCAAGTTCTATTGAAAATAAGTCTTGGTAAAATTGTTGCTAAAAATAATTTTTTTGTAATAATTTTTTATATATGTCGCTAAAAATTAACAATTAGTGACTTTTTTTGTCATGATTTTTATAAATTGTCGCTAAAACTTACAATTAGTGACTTTTTTTATGAATTTTTTTTTCTATAGGACTTATTAGACAATAAGTCCACTTATTAGGACCTACGTGTAAGTATCCCTTATTTTAAAAGAATTTTTTTTATTTTTACCCCACTGTAGCCAAATTGTTGTCAACCAGTCGTCACAAAAGTCATTGGAGGTGCCTGGCGATAGCGATCGGTGATGGTGGTGATATGAAGAGATAGGCAAATTAAGTGGATAATTGCACATGGACAAATAAAGGGATGACAAGTAAACAAATAGATGACACGTGGACAAATAAATAATGTGAATAATGAATAACTAGACAAATAGATAGTTAGAAATAATATGATCTTCTAAATTATTTTATTTTTGTAACCTAAAAGAATAAAGTTTTGAGTTGTTTTTTCAAAAATAAATTAAATTAAATTAAACTAAACTAACCTTATGACCCAATTGCCCAAATTTATATTGGTCAAATTAATGTGATAATCCTATTGATGGATGGGGTAAAGAAAATGTCAAAAATAGTAATGTATGATTTCTAATGTAATTTTCACATTTTTAAAATATTTTATATATTTTTAATACATTTTAGGAGAAATTTATGGTTTTGCAGCTTTAAAAAATTGATACTTTATAATTTGTTGTAGTGAAAGTTACTAACCAATTATGGTACTTTGTGGTAAAAATTATAAATGATGAATTTATGGTGTATATTGTTAAAGTGAAAGTTATGTACGGTAGTTATGGTATGATCATTATAGTTATATTATAAATGATATAATGTAAATATTATGAATTATTTGCGATAAAAAAAATGTTACAAATTATTTTGATAAAAATAATTAGTTGTTGCAGTGTTTATTATGAAATATTGTAATTATGTTACATATATTATGGTGGTAGGATGCATGTGGAGGTGTAGCAGTAGCAACAACTCTTTACATTTTATACGTGTATCAAAATTACTAGTCACCAATCAAACGGTCATTAGTATTAGGGGTGTTATTCATCGAGTCGTATCAGGATTGGATCGCATTACTTAATAAGAAAATTTATGTATGTCTAAACTCGCCCCATCCGGGACTCATGGAATCATCCTAAGCCAATCGTAATATAAATTATAATTTTCAAACCCGTCTATCGGGTCATATACATAAGCTATTAATAAAATTAAATATTATAGTACATATTATGTTTTCATAAATAAACAAAGAGCTATATTAATTAACATATAGCTAAACATTCAATACCATATTGATTAAAATATTATAAAGTTTTTTGAACAAAACACACCCACAATTCTAAAAGTTCAAAGTTTTAAAAACCAAATTTTAAAAGCAATGCATGGCTCATGAAACATGCTAAGAGCAAGAAAGATTAGAAATAAAGAAAAACTGAGCTCGCAAGGTTGAAAACCTTAAAGGGCGACTTTGGAAAAAGTTAGAATGCAAAAGGAGAGAGTTAATACTCGAGTGAACCTGAACCGAACTACGTAAGGCCTGATTTCCATCTTTGGGATATGTAGGTAGCTCCATCTTGAAGTTCGGCTGTAACTATCTCCAACTCAACTGTCCTGTCCATTTTTCTGATCAGGTCATCTCTGTTCGGCTGAACTTGCATCTGTTGATGCACGAGTTCTCCCACCTCCAAGGGTAATCTTCTGTGAATGAATCATTTTTATTTTCCATGTGTGAATGAGTCTAACATTGACTTTGGTGGTTCAGCTCAAGTATCATGATACTGGGAAAGAGACACAGGTTGATCCAAGGGTTGGTGTATGGAACATGATTGACAAGGTGAAACAGCAGTTATATTTTTGTGTTGTTGGTGATTGGTGGAATAAACCTGGGACGATTACCATATGATTCTTAAGTGTGTAGATTGATGTGGTTCTTTTTTTTCCCGTGGGTTGGATGCATCAAGAAAAAATGACAATACATTGTACAAATCTTGTCTGTATGGTATCTTTCAGAATTCTAGATTTCTATCAAATGGTTGATTTTCGTTCACTATTTTTTTCTCCTGTCTGTTGGCTAGAGCTAAAAAAATACTATTTTGTTTCTTCTGCAGCTAGATGACATTTAGTACTTGTGATTTTGTAGAAAATGGTTAATGGTGGCAAGGTGGAATTCTGGACATGCATCAGCTTTTCACGATCTAGAATTAATTTGGACGAGTTCTGCCGTGAATTGATTTCTATGTGTCGTAGTAAAGGGATGGTATAGATTTATCATTACATGCATGCAGTTGTCCATTTCAGTCGTTGCTGAACTAGAAAGAAAGAGCCTGATGTTTTTTGTTTCCTTTTGATGAATGTGCAAGGATTTCAATGAGCCTTTCCTTCCTATTAAATCAGCATATCCTGGTCAAATTGAGAAGGATCTCCATGATATTCATGCCCGTTCTACTGAAAAATTAGCAAACATGGGATTGACAGGGAAGCAACTTCAGTTGTTAATTATTGTTTTGCCTGATGTCAGCGGGTCATATGGTTTGTCGTTGTACCCAGAATTTGAAATTTGCTCAGAGATGTGGTTGTTTACTTGCGTGACATTTTTTATGTTTTACAGGAAAGATCAAAAGAGTGTGTGAAACAGAGTTGGGCATTGTCTCACAATGCTGTCAACCTAGGCAAGCACAAAAGAATAATAATAAACAGTATCTAGAAAATTTGTCTCTCAAGATAAATGTGAAGGTTGTATATCTGTTCAAATGTTCATATCAATTTAGGTTAAATTTTATTCTTTATATTATATGTGTCTATGGCTAATTGTTTTAAACTTCAATAGGTTGGGGGTCGAAACACTGTGTTGATGAGCGCTATTGAAAGAAGAATCCCGTTTGTGACTGATCGCCCTACAATCATCTTTGGAGCTGATGTAACTCATTCTCAACCTGAGGATGACGCAAGCCCATCCATTGCTGCGGTATGTCGTCTAGCATCTAAGCAAGAGCATCATGGAATTTTTTTGATGAAAGTTGGATTTATATTTTACAGGTGGTTGCTTCAATGGATTGGCCTGAGGTAACGAAGTACAGAGGACTGGTTTCTGCACAAGGACACAAGGAAGAAATCATCCAGGATCTCAATAAAACATATCAGGATCCTCAAAGGGGCACCGTTCATTGTGGAATGATTAGGTAAAAAGTCCACAACATTACTTGAATGTGTTTTTATAATTTTTCTTAACATCTTTTCTTATTTTTTATTTATTTACATTTTTTCAGGGAGCTGTTAATAGCTTTCAAGACATCAACTGGGCAGAAGCCTCATAGAATTATATTCTACAGGTGAATACATGCTCCAGGGGTATGCAACTATGATAATGTTATTAATACCTGCTCTGTACAACTATGCTAATCTTGTTTTTAATCTTGTAGAGATGGTGTTAGCGAAGGTCAATTCAACCAAGTTTTGCTCCACGAAATGGATGCAATCCGAAAGGTATATGTTTATACTGTCTTACTGATTGGGATGGTATTAAATAACACTAGTGTATTGGTGATATGGTCATATGTCTGGCGATATATCGGTGAATAGTGGCGATGTATCGGTGAATAGTGGTATCGCTTGTCCCAATTCTATTACGTATGGGCCGATATGATATGTAACAGTTGATATATTTGGGTACTGAAGTGATTTCTCCTTTTACATTGTTTTTTTACATATAAACCTGCTTTTTTTGTCAGGCTTGTGTTTCGTTAGAGGAACACTATCTGCCACGTGTAACCTTTGTTGTGGTGCAAAAGAGACACCACACACGCCTTTTCCCTGCAGATCATAATGATCGTCGTTCAACAGATAGGAGTGGCAACATTCTGCCAGGTTTCAGACTTTGCCCCTCGTTATGAGTTTGTACGATGCCTTGTTTTGGAACCCATTGTTGTATATTGATGATTATTTGCATGGTTGTGATCAGGTACGGTTGTGGACACCCACATTTGCCACCCTAATGAATTTGACTTTTACCTATGTAGCCATGCCGGAATTCAGGTAAAGCAATGTTCAAGTTATTTTCATTTTATTTTCTTGCAAGCATTTGATAATGATGGAAATTTTGCAAGAAAGATAGAAATTTAAAATTTTAGTTATACAAATTCAGTGTTGTAGATTTTAAGACAGATTTCCGTGACAAATGTCAATTGTTTTTTGTATCTGTCTGAGTAGGGCACAAGCCGTCCTACACACTATCTTGCTATCTTCAAAGCATCATTTAATTCAGGTTTGTGCATCTTGCTATTGCAAAACAAGCTTTAGAGTCACAAATCAAGATGAATGTAGCTCTTGGTGCTACAACATATGAACATGCTTTTGCTTGCTTAATAAAATTTGCTCATAGCTTGGAAGCAGTCAAAATAAATGAACCAAATAAAAACTTCCAGAGATTTTGAATGTATGATTTTCTGTAGTTTTAAATTTTAACTCAATCGAATAATTTCATCAATGCTTTTCCTTTTTAGATTAGCTTCACTGGCATTATCCAGATTTTCCTTCATTTTTCTCAGATTTACTGGTGCAGGCTTCATTGCAATGTATGCTACACTTGCCAGCCAAGATGTGGACTGTTGTTTGATTCTAGAATCACCCTTCTTTCTGGAAGTGGTAGTGGATGTAATAGATATTGGTGAACATGTTCTAAAACTCGTTAATTTTCTTGTTTGGGTAGGCTAGCTTCATTTGGTACTGTTAATTTTGTTGAATTGCATGCATTTAAATTCATGAATGTAATGAAACATTAGTGAATTTTTATCAGAAATGTTGGAAAAGGCAATAGCAACTCCTCCAACTGTTTCACCAATATGGTGTTCCCCATTACTTGAGGTATGTGTAGAATTAAAATTATGTCATAAAATTCTCTACTCAACTTTTTGAATGATCCCATTGAATGAAATTTCTAACTACGCTAGTTCTACTATATTTGAAGTCCTGTATAGGAGTAATTTGGGTATGTATAACTGTGTCATATATATGTGTGAAAAAATATATATATATATAACTGAATTTCTTTGCTTCTCTTCTATAGCCATTGATATGAGCTTGTTAAGTTGAAAGGTATTGCCAAAACTGACGCTTCATGCTCCATTGTCTTTGAAGCCAGATGAACATGGCATTAGTGAATCGTCTTCACAGTTGCTGATAATATATTAGTGAATCGTCTTCACACTTCATGCTCCATTGTCTACTCACTTATCTGTGCCGAGCTTCTTTATTTTTGAAAACCCTTGTTCTATGTTTTTCTTTGAAGGTACTGCTCATTTCCTTATTAGAAGAATAAAGAAGCATGTCCTAGACAAAACTACTCCTATACAGGACTTCATTTCCTTACTGCTCATTTTCTTTGAGTTCACTTTGTCATAAATAAATCAAAACAAGAGGAGACAAAACAACATATATATTTGTCACTTTGTCACTTTGTCATTTTCTTGGAGTTCACTTTGTCTTTGAGTTCACTTTGTCATTTTCTTTGAGTTCACTTTGTCATATATATATTATCATTTTTAACTATACAAAACAAGAGGTGAGGTTGGGTTGGTGTCCATATTGCCAGTGAAGTCAAAAAGGAGACAAAACTACAAGCATGAGAGTTAGCTATCATTTACATCATTATCAGTCCCAATGCGACGAAAATCCAAATACACTTGGTTTCAATTACAAAATTTCTTGAAGCTTGTTCAATGCTTTTAATGTGATTCTGTCTTACCTTAGGAAGCAAACTGCAAATGCTAAATTGTTTGCTTTTGAATAGAATATTTCTGGCCTTTACTATGTTCATCATTACCAGCTTGAATATTATGGGAGTGCAAATGTCGCTTGTTTCTCCATTTTTATTTATGATTTTTGTGGGTTGTTGTTGTTGTGATGCTCTTCATTCATTAAACCCCTCAAACTGGGGTAAGTTGACTTTATCAGACTAATTTAGTGGAACTAGCTTCACTTTATCAGACTAATTTAGTGGATGTTGAGCCTGTTTACTATTTTTATGCATAGAGATAGGCTTTGTTAATTTCATTATCCTCTGCTGCAATCTAGGCTTTCAGAACAAAGGAGAAAGAAACTCCAAGTAAAGGAGGCTGAATTGAGGAGGAGGGAGCAGGTACTTATTTATACTAATTAAAATTGTAGCTTTCAAATATGTTTTACCTAGAATTGAATGGCTATGTTTTTAATTTTATTTTCATGGACACTTGGTATTAATCTTATTATTTTTTCATTTTATTTATATTATGTAGGATGTTTACATGTACTTCCGTGGCAGTGGCAAAGCAGCAGAGATAAAGCGTGAGGCTGCAAAACGGACAATGATGGCTGCGCTGCCATGATTCAGAAAGATTCTTTGGTTTGATAATGCTGAGAGAAATCGAAACATTCACTATTTTTTTGCACTTGTGCCTAGTCTAGTATTTATAAGCCTTCATATAATCTTCTTAAAATATGTATGTAAAAGACAGATTCTGACAAACAAGTTTAAGTTAGGACATGTTGTGGTACATATGTCCTTTTTGGAAATTAATTTGGTTAGTCCTGTATTATGTATGAAATGAAATTATTAACGTTGGATTAGACTTGGTTCGTATGGAATTTGTATTATATATAGAATTGGAAGTTTATTTTTAATGTTTTGGATGGTTGGAACTAGAATGTGTGCACGTTGTTGAATGCTTGATAATATATTTAGCGTTGATGGGTTATATTGGATTATATTGAATCTTGTATTATGTACGTACAGGTTGTATTAAACATGGATGTAGGTTGTTTAGAATTTTTTTGGAAAAAAAAAAAAAAAACAGAAAATATTTGGCCACCAAATATTTTGGTAGCCAAATATATAGTTGGAAATTTTTGGCTACTAATAATTTAGTAGCAAAAACATTTGGCGACTAAAACATTTGGTAGCAAAAAGTAATGAATAGTTGGTTAAAATTTTCATGTAGAACTTTTAGTGACTAAAAAATTAGTAGCTAAAATGTCACTATTGCCGACTAAGTATGGATTCGTAGCCAAATGTTAACTTTCGGTGACTAATTCTTTCGTAGCAAAAAGTAACACATTCGCCGACCAAATGAATGTTAGTAGCCAAAAGTCACATTCGGCGATTAATACTTTAGTGGCAGAAACATACCTTTTCCCGACTAAACTAAGATTAGTAGCCAAATGTGTACACTTTCGGCGACCAAATACGTTACTCACAGAGTTCTGGGCTACAGTATGCTAGAGCGTGTCTCCCCAGTCGCCAACCCTACATAGTTAACAGATTGAACACACTAAGCTACACAGCTGGGAAAGATAATAACTTAACCCCTAGTGCCTCGGTGTATTCTACATCTATATCCTCAATAAGATGCCTTAAACTAGGCCTAAGCATGCCTAGGATGGGATGAAGATGCAAAGATGTACTCAAAAAGTAATTTCAGAATTTACAGAAAAACAGAGTCCCGCTCGAGCGCAGGTTTCCCCGCTCGAGCGGTCATGCAACAAAGGTACACGCTCGAGCGTATAATACTCCGCTCGAGCGTACTGTAAAAGTACTGGATGGGTGAAATCTCCGCTTGACGCCTGCTCGAGCTTGAGACACATGACTCCGCTCGAGCGCCCAATCCTCTGCTTGAGCGGACTGTAAAACAGTGCAGAGAAATGCTGTATGTTCGGATTCCACGCTCGAGCGCCACTTTCCCCGCTCGAGCGGAAGTGCAAAATCTGGAAATTCCATATTGCACCACCAAGCTCAAAACCAAGTTTAAATGCATCAAAACCGATCCTCTTGGGCTGAATTTCCAGAAAACACTTGTAAGCATATAGAATGACATGGTTCAAAGCTCAATTTTGAGAAATCAAGGCCCAAGGGTATTTAATTCAAACCCAATTTCAAACCAATTTCATGAACAATATTTCAAACATGACATGCATGAATTCAAACCAATTCAAAGCTTCAATTTCATGCTCTAGTGAGCCAAATCTTTCAAAAACATGATGAGTTCATGGTCTATTCTCAAAACATGGACATGCATGCAAAAATCCATGAAGAACAACCTCAAGAATGCAAGAGTATGCCATGCATGCAACAATTAAGCTATAATTCAACAATAATGAACCTAAATCACTAGAGGCTCAAGAATCTTGCATGAATAAGCTTAAACACAACAATGAGAGGTTGAATTCCTTACCTAGAGCTTCAATTACAAGTGTAGAAGTCCAATTAGGCAAATCTCCTATGATCTTTTCAAGCCTTTCAAGCCAATTCTCTAGAGCAATTCAACTCTCTCCCTTCCTCTCTCTCTATGGCCGGTTGAACAAGGAGAAGGGACTAATGAAATGTTTTGATTCAAGTATGCAAAGGTTCAATATGTGTGAAGTAGTGGCCACTAAGTGGTCTAAGTGTAAATAAGTCCAATTCATGTAATTTGGTACCATTAATCTAATTTAATCATACCTAATCAGTTTTCAGATAAATATACCATAAAATCACATAAATTACGATGATCATAAAACACTAATCAATTTCTAATTCGGCCGTCGATAAGGCCTTCAATTAGCAGTTTAAAATACGCCCCACAAATTTGACAAAAATAAAATACGCCCCACAAATTTGACAAAAATAAAATACGCCCCACAAATTTGACAAAAATAAAATACGCCCCACAAATTTGACAAAAATAAAATACGCCCCACAAATTTGACAAAAATAAAATACGCCCCACAAATTTGACAAAAATAAAATACGCCCCACAAATTTGACAAAAATAAAATACGCCCCACAAATTTGACAAAAATAAAATACGCCCCACAAATTTGACAAAAATAAAATACGCCCCACAAATTTGACAAAAATAAAATACGCCCCACAAATTTGACAAAAATAAAATACGCCCCACAAATTTGACAAAAATAAAATACGCCCCACAAATTTGACAAAAATAAAATACGCCCCACAAATTTGACAAAAATAAAATACGCCCCACAAATTTGACAAAAATAAAATACGCCCCACAAATTTGACAAAAATAAAATACGCCCCACAAATTTGACAAAAATAAAATACGCCCCACAAATTTGACAAAAATAAAATACGCCCCACAAATTTGACAAAAATAAAATACGCCCCACAAATTTGACAAAAATAAAATACGCCCCACAAATTTGACAAAAATAAAATACGCCCCACAAATTTGACAAAAATAAAATACGCCCCACAAATTTGACAAAAATAAAATAAGCCCTACAAATTTAACATAATTACAGTGAAATCTCTTATTTTTTGAAAGGTACAGCAAGATTTGTTCACCCAAAAATTTACACCAAGACCCCCTAAATTATTAAAAAATATCATTTTGACTTTCTAAACCATAAAAGCATATAAATCAACCCCCTTAACTATTAAAAAGTATCGTTTTACTCTCTAAACTATAAAAACGTACAAATGTCCTACAAATTGAACCGTTAACGGAAGGAGTCAAAGTGAAACACGCCAATAATTTATAAGATTCATTTGTATGTTTTTATAGTTTATGGAAGTAAAGTGATATTTTTTAATAATTTAGGAGATCTATTTATACGTTTTTAAAATTTAAAAAGTCAAAATAATACTTCTCAATAATTTAAGGAGTCTCTATGTAAACAACCGTGGTTTGAATTCACATAACCATTAGCTCATTTTTCATGTGAATTTATTTAGTTATATAGATGAAAAAACAATATTATTATCTTGTATTTTTTGAAATGTACTATTTGCATTGTTGATTTTTGTATTTTCATACTATTTGCATTAATTCAGTATAACATACTTTTGTCATCAAATTAGTTTTAAAAAAAATTTCAAAAAACAATTTTAAAAAAACAAACCAAATACACATTTCATTCGAAAATTTCCGAAAAAAAAAAATTTAATTAATTAAATAGAATGAAAACTTCCCGCCTTGTCGGAGTCAGTTACAAAAGTTTACAGACATCTCTCTCTTCCTCATTAAACGCATTCCATTTCCAGTTTCATTCTCAACCCACAATTCTCTCTCTCTCTCTCTCTCTCTCTCTCTCTCTCCATTGACATCAAACATATTATCGCAAATTCAAAGAATCAGCCTCCTAATTCTGCGAATTCCTTGGACAATCTTCATATGTCGGTAAATCTTCGTCTTCCCATTGTACTCTTTGTTGTTTTCTTCAATTTTCATATATCAGATTAGATAATAGATAATTCCCTTAGATCCATTATTGTGTAAAACCCATTTCAATTTCAGCTTCGATCTATGAATATACATTTGTAAATATATATATATTATATTTATTGTTGTAGATTGGGGGAAAATGAGAATGTGAACAGCTTACAATGAAATCAATACTTGCTCTTCATTAAAAATCTAGGTACCAATGTTGGATTCTTGTACATTGTTGTCATTTTCCCTAATGGTGCATTTGCACCATCTTGTCTAGTTTTTTGGAATTTTTATTTTTCCATATTTTTTTGGGTTTATGACATGTGGGTTATATTATATCTTTGTTTTGAAACCTTTTTTTCTTTTTTATTGTTCTTCATTGTTCATTATTGTAAAAATTGAAATTATTTTTCCTTCTTCAAAATTGACAACGTCAATTAGTTTTCAATGTTGTTTTGTGAAGTATTTTTTGGCCTCTGTCTTTTGGTGTTGTTACAATGATGCAGTCCAATTGGAGAAACCTACTTTTATGGGAAAAGAATTTTAATTCAAGGAGTTATAGTAAAAATATAAAAAATTGATTTGACTAACACAAACAAATTTGGAAATGTACTAACAATGCACATACCTCAAAAATGTTCAATTAATTTACTATTTGGTTATATATATATATAGAAATAGATGGGTTTTATTTTATGATTCCAATTGTTTTCATGCCTAGCCAAATTTTAGTGTTTCATTGTCTTACTAAAAAGTTTCCAAATTATTGCATTTCTAAGCTTAAAAAAAAAAGTACACACCAAACCAAAATTTCAATCCTCGGTATTTAGCACGTTGGCCATCTTATTCCAACTACATCTACACTTAATCAATCACAACTTTGGTTTCATTCGGCTCCTTTGTGGAAGATGGATAAATTTCTAGATCTAACATATGAGTGACATTACAAAATAAAATAAACAAAATTCACTCATAACATCTATGTTAAACGCACTTTCACATCTTCTTAACTCAAAATGGCTGGGGAGAGGAAAATATCCTTTTTTTAAGGGTACTCCCGTGGACAGATCGAGTGGAGAGAGGTTGGGGCCTCTAGCTCAGAGGATTAGAGCATATGTGTCAGGAATTTGAATTCCATTTTCTCTAGGATTAAAACATTCCCTAGAAGGGAAAGAAATAGTAAAATCTCAAAATTTATGATCAATTCATTCAATATTTTCTTTTTTAGAGGACATATTTTCACATTTAAATATGTTTAGATATACATCTATACTGAATTAACTACAACTCTGGTCAATGTTACATTACCTACCTCGTGATCTTTGTTATGCTTGGTAACAGTTCGACAACATAGAATTTCTACTCTAGACTACCAGGAATACATGCTGTACTGAAGCAAAAATATACATGATACTGTTAACACTTGCAGAGAAAATTTGCAGGGTCATGCTTCCTTTAACACAGTGCAAGACGAGGTCTCTTTTACTTCATACTTGGTAGGGGCCGCAGATAAAGCATAGTGCCTTACTTCCATTTAATGACACATAGCTCCTCTATTTTAGGATTCAACTTACACCCTCACCAAATTTTTGAAGCCTTAAACACCGCCTCCAAGTTACTAGCAAAATTACTCTGCAGAACTGTCAGCAAACCAGGTCCTCTGCCTGAAATGCATGATATTTTGGATCCAAGTCCATCTTTCCATTTTCAAGAACTTGTATTTTATCCCAAATTATATGATTTTACTAATTGGTTTCCCTATCTTTCACTCCATTAGATTATGTAAAAGGACAAAATATTCGCTTTGATTTTCATAGTCTCTTCTCTTGGATTTTTTTACCCAACTCTTTGCCTTCCGAATACTATTTGTTCTTATTAATTATGGGGATAAAATTGAGTTTTCAATGCTTTGATAGTTTCAAGGATGTGTGACATTTTGCAAAAGGAGCACGAAATTTGGTTTCATTTCCCATATGCAAGATGTGGTTCAAGAATGAAGATAAAAATCATAGAACATTCAATTTACATTCAAGATCTTAATCTGGTTAACATCACTTTATTTACATCATGCGTGCTAGCTATTGCACAATTACAAAGTCAGAACTTTTCAGCTATTATGATATATACAGTTTTTGAGGGCCTGGTTATATAACACCTAGCTTGTTGATGTATTCAATTGTATATGTTACTTTATTTCCTTTGTCACTTAGATTTATCTTTCAAAATGAGGTTTCAGTTTCCCATGGCCCATCACTGCATTAAGTAGTAAGCCTTGTCTGCCCTTTCTTTTGCCTTTATTTCACAATTTAAGTAAACGATGTTCAGAGTCTTATGTTGTGTTTGGTTCATGACTTTGGGTAGGGATTTGAAAAGAGAAAGGAAAAGGTGGGTGAAATGTAAATGAAATATAGTTACATTTCACACACTTTTTCTCTTTCCTTTTTCAAATCCCTATCCAAATCTATGATCTAAACACAGCCTTAATGTAAACCATATATCCACTTCCTATCGTATCATTTACATGTAAGTTGGTGTGCTGATGTTTTATTTTTTTTCTCTGAGAAGCACCTAATTGGGTATGTGAGATGCAGGTCCTCATGGACACTACAGAGTCTAGGATTGGAGGAGATGCCCCGCCAAGCAATACTCCAAATTGGACAATTAATGTTTCAGATGTAAGAAAATACTTATTAAAAATACCACCAGTTGGTGCATATATGAACTGCATTTTTATAATTTGATTCCCATAAATGAGGTGTCAGTGGGAATGCGTACACTATTGTCTTCAAATTCCTATTGCATCTGTTCAATAACAACAGTAATAGTAATGTGGTGGTAAAAAGTTAATTAACTATACAATATTTTGCCAGTTTAAAGAGTAATAATTAAATAAAATGGCTTTTCAATTATTTGATGTCAGCAAGATGACTAAGTTGAGTGACTGAGATTCTGTAGTGTGAATTTTTTATTTGCCAGTTTAAACAGTTTTGAATGCTTTAAACTTAGTTCTTTTAAGTAGTAAGAACCATGCTACATTCAAAATTCAGTTAATGCATAATCTATTTGAAGATTTTCTTTCCATTATGGCAATTGCTTAGTTGCAGAGTAAATACATGTACTTATCTAGTCTTCTTACTCTTTTTAACAGATAAGAACAGTTAAAGTTAGTAATATCTCTCTAGCGGCCTCTGAGAAGGATATTAGGGAATTTTTCTCTTTTTCTGGTGAAATCCGATATGTTGAAATACAAAGGTCGGCCCTTGACTTAACCGGTGTTAAATTTCTTGCATAATCATTTTCAATAGTGTTATGGTGCGTTCTTCAGGGAAACTGAAACATCTCAGCTTGCATACGTCACCTTCAAGGATTCGCAGGGAGCAGATACAGCTATCCTTTTGGCAGTATGTTAATTGATTCTCTATATAAGTCGCGATCTCAAATTTTCAGTAATAATTGTTAAATTTGACTGTTTAATGTGTTTCTTTACAATGTTGTAGAAATCTAATGTGTTGGGGAAGGCATGAAACATAAGCCTTAGATTTTCTAAAATAAGGAAATTGCTGAAATGTTCAGCTTAATAATTTTGTTTCGTTTTTGGAATCAATTTTTAAATTTTTTTTCAAAAAAACTAAAAACTAGTTTGGTAAATACAAGGCACCAAACATGTAACTCAGTATTTTCATATGGTTTGTCTTTTTGGCGGTAAAAATATCTTTTTGGTGTATATTTTCATCAAACTAGTTTCTATTTTTTCTAATTTCCGATAACATATTCTAAAAACAAAACCGAACAGAAAATTTTCAAAACTCTTTTTTAAGTCAACAGGGTACCCATGTCAAAATTTCCATTAACCCTTTTTTATTGGGTCTTTTTGATTCAGGGATCGACAATAGCTGATCTTTCAGTCTCTATAACACCCATTGAGAATTACCAGCTGCCTCCTGATGCTCCTCCTTTGACCCCTGTAAGTTTCATTGCTGTTAAAATCATGCTTCTGTATCTGTTTTTGTGTTACACTTTTTATATATAGATATATATATAGGTATAGATGGTCTTCGTTTTTCCATATCGAAAATTGATAGATGATGGAAATGTAAAAGACATTGAATGAATTAATGATGGGTAAATTTGCATGGATCCACTTATCCAATCCAGAGATCCAGATTGTAGTTTTTTTAAAACATAAAATTTCTTTACTTATTCTCGAAGAATACAAAGACACTTTTAATGGAATATATATATATATATATATTTATATGCATAGCTCGTTCAGTCTTCAGTACTTTTCTTTTAAGTGATTCATAGGAAGAATTGTGGTTCTTCGTTGATTCAGGTCTGGCTTTGACTAAATATGTTTGCTGGATTTACAAGGTAAAGTCTGAATAATTAAACAAAAATGGTGAACGGTGAAGGGAGACAACCCAAGATGACCATCTATTTTAAATGTGTACTTGTAATCATTCACTCGACACTTGAATGAAACAAATCTACAAAAATATCCCACTCTGTTTTACAAAAATATATTTTGAACCATATGTATTTTAGTTTCTAAAACAATCCAATCAAGCCTACTGTGATACACTAAATCATTAAGATAAAAGAATCAGAGATGCATATCAACATGTATGAACCATTCATCCCTCAGTGAGGAAAACTAATTGAAAACGTAGTTGGACTTTATAATGCCCATATTCTGTTAATCAATGAAATATGTTATTTATAATAAATTTTGACACAAGAGGAGCCCCTAAGCTTTCTGGCTCACTAGTAGGTGACAAGAGGATTTGTCATTAGGAAATTCTTTCTCCTAATGAGAAGCAAATGGACTTAATTCATCCATAGGATCCCCATGTGTTTGGTTACAACTCGTTAATAGAAATGTTGGGACTAACCTACTATGTCAGATTGAGCTTGGCCACCTCTGGCGAGCTGATACCGTTTTTAATAGGTCCTGGTTTGCTTGTGCACCATCTACATTTGCTTTTAAATTGCAGAAAGTTAAATAATGAGAACATAAAAAAAAATTTGTTCACATATAAGCATGCTTTTTAGGATAAAAATAATAAAAAAAGAAAAACAAATATGGGCAAGTTATTTTTCATGCAATAACCTCTTTGTACGATTGGATTTTTTCCTTATCTATTTATTTATTTTTTTAGAAGGAGACAAAGCCAACTGCCGCAGGTTCAGCTGTTAAAAAGGCAGAGGATGTGGTGAGCACGGTCCTTGCCAAGGGCTTCGTTTTAGGAAAGGATGCCCTCTACAAGACAAAATCTTTTGACAAGCGACACCACTTGACATCAAATGCGTCATCTACAGTTGCTTCCATTGACCGCAAGATGGGTCTTAGTCAGAAGTTAAGCATAGGGACAGCCATGGTACATGAGAAGATGAGAGAGATGGATGAGAGGTTCCAAGTATCTGAAAAGACAAAAAATGCCTTTGCCGCTGCCGAGCAGAAGGCTAGCAGTGCAGGATCGGCTATCATGAGTAATCGTTACGTATCAACAGGAGCTTCATGGGTTTCGAGCGCATACAGTGCGGTCATAAAGGCGGCCGAGGATGTGAGTGCTATGACTAAGGTGAAGGTTGAAAAGGTGGAGGAAAAGAAAGAGACTCTATGCAAGGAGAGAGAGGCGGTGGTTAATGACTATGCTCGGGTTCACCTTGACAGGGCTTCGGTTGGCGAGCTTCCGGTGGTGGCTCCTAAAACAGTTGATAACAATAAGATCACAATAATATGATGTAACAGTCCATGAATTTCATTTTTCCTTTAGAAAAAACTCGGATTCCTTTTCATTTTGATGTTTGATTTTTGGGGAGCAAAAGGGTTTGATTCACTTCCCTATGCTCTTAACATTAGGATTTGTATCTTTATGTATAGTCTTTTTGTTGTATCATTCAAGTCATTGAGCACATGACAAGATTTCCCAACTGTCATTCTTTTCCAGACAGATATATATATATATATATATGATTTTTTTTTTGGGTTAAATATGAGAAGAAGCTTGATCTCAAGTCAAATGCACTCTCCTTCTTGTGCTCTTTTCAGTAATGAGTTCTATTACCCTTTTAATTATTGCATCCAAAGCTTATTTATTGAAAGATAGAGCAGGACTTGTGAAGGGGATCACACGACAAGGCCCGATATTTCATCGCACTTAGTGGGGCAGGGAAGAATCACAACTGATTTATTTGAGCTCGATTTAATTAGGGAGTTAATATTGTGGTTGGGATTTTTTTTCCTCATTTATTCTTCTTGGTTGGCTTATTATAAATATTGGATTATTGATAATAGAAGATGCTTTTGGATATTGAATACAATTGATTGAGAATTTTTTACTTTATTTAACCCTACTGAGAGCTATAAAATTAAAATTCTATTGTCCTCGATGAATTGAGGTTGATAACCACTAAGTAAGTACTTACCAAGCAACACAAAAAAACCACATAGAAACGGTCAAATTCATGAAAGAAAAAGAAAATGGAAGGGATAAGTAACGAAATGGAAGGTGTTTTTTTAAACTTTTTTCTTGCCATTTCTTTTCCTTCACAAATTCAAGATCAAAACATAGCTTCAAAGTTGGGAAAAACTAGCATTTCATGGAAAGAATGTAATATTTTTTGGTACTCGTTCTTCTCAGTAATTCAGATTTCTATTTTTTGCCCTTTTTATTTTAGATGCCTCAAATTCCTATTGCTATGCAGAAACAAAATCAAACAAACTCTCCATTTCATAATTTATTTTGGGGTATCTTTATTTTTTCTCCCCTGATATAACTTTTGTGCCACATATTTAATAAACTCCATGAGATTTCAATCTGATGATTAAAAAAAGTAAACGAAGCCCACATGGGATCCAAGTATATATTTTTTTATCTGCCAAACTCATGTTTGTTTTTGAAAAAATGCTTCAGATTCGTAGTCCCATGGGACTACCAATCTGGCCAAATTGTTTTGTATATCGACTTAGTTTCATTTGGTTCATCCTCCATATCTTGTCTTGACCTCGTAGAACACTCAAGCCCCCAACAATGTCAGCCTATGCAGATTGTTGAGTTGGAAACTTAGGATGCTATTGTTCTAGAAAGCCTGTCTGGCCTTGAGATTGTTGTTTTCATTTGGCTCCTTTATTGTCTCTCTAGTTTATACTCATCAATCTAGTTTATGTAGATCATCTACATTTCCTGAATGTTCTCTTCTGTTAGGTCAAGGTTGTCCTTTTCTGGTTCTTGTTTACAATGCCAGGAAGTTCTTACATATTTGCAAAAAAAAAAAAAAGGGGGGGAAAGGTAGCAGAAGAAGAAGAAAAAGCATATGGTATGTTTCAAGCAACACTATTCTACTTCAGAGTAACAATTTGACATGGTTTTTCAGCAGTGATAATTTTCATAGAAGTCATGATTCCACTGTAGGATCACTGAAGTCAAGCTGATTTCGATTGCAACAGCTTCAAAGTCCTTTTTTTGAGTAACTGATAAGTAGCTTATTACTAAAAAGGCACTACAATTACCCGTGCTTCGGGCTGCTGCAAAAAGAAGGTACAAATTCTGTCTACGTGCGGTCATAAAGGCGGCCGAGGATGTGGGTGCTATGACTAAGGTGAAGGTTGAAAAGGTGGAGGAAAAGAAAGAGACTCTATGCAAGGAGAGAGAGGCGGTGGTTAATGACTATGCTCGGGTTCACCTTGACAGGGCTTCGGTTGGCGAGCTTCCGGTGGTGGCTCCTAAAACAGTTGATAACAATAAGATCACAATAATATGATGTAACAGTCCATGAATTTCATTTTTCCTTTAGAAAAAACTCGGATTCCTTTTCATTTTGATGTTTGATTTTTGGGGAGCAAAAGGGTTTGATTCACTTCCCTATGCTCTTAACATTAGGATTTGTATCTTTATGTATAGTCTTTTTGTTGTATCATTCAAGTCATTGAGCACATGACAAGATTTCCCAACTGCCATTCTTTTCCAGACAGACATATATATATATATATATATATGATTTTTTGGGTTAAATATGAAAAGAAGCTTGATCTCAAGTCAAATGCACTCTCCTTCTTGTGCTCTTTTTCAGTAATGAGTTCTATCTTAACTCAAAATGGCTGGGGAGAGGAAAATATCCTTTTTTTAAGGGTACTCCCGTGGACAGATCGAGTGGAGAGAGGTTGGGGCCTCTAGCTCAGAGGATTAGAGCATATGTGTCAGCCAGGAGTTCGAATTCCATTTTCTCTAGGATTAAGATATTCCCCAGAAGGGAAAGAAATAGTAAAATCTCAAATTTACGATCAATTCATTCAATATCTCTTTTTTTAGAGGACATATTTTCACATTTAAATATGCTTAGATATACATCTATACTGAATCAACCACAACTCTGGTCAATGTTATATTACATACCTCGTGATCTTTGTTATGCTTGGTGACAGTTCGACAACATAGAATTTCTACTGTAAACTACCAGGAATACATGCTGTACTGAAGCAAAAACATACATGATACTGTTAACACTTGCAGAGAAAATTTGCAGGGTCATGCTTCCTTTAACACAGTGCAAGACGAGGTCTCTTTTACTTCATACTTGGTAGGGGCCGCAGATAAAGCATAGTGCCTTACTTCCATTTAATGACAAATAGTTCCTCTATTTTAGGAATGAAGATAGAAATCATAGAACATTCACTTTACATTCAAGATCTTAATCTGGTTAACATCGCTTTATTTACATCATGCGTGCTAGCTATTGCACAATTATAGTAGGTGCTTGGCATTCCCTAAAAAAGTCAAAAAGTTAAAAAGTCACTGAAAAAGAAAAAAAGTTAATATTATTCACATGTTTGGGAGGGAAAAAAAGGCTGAATAGACAAAGGGAAAAATTACGAATTTGCCCTTTTGAATTCAACAACCAAAAGGGCATGTTAGTGCTGTCATGTGTACCTTCCATGTACATTTTACCAAATGCACTGACGTGGCTACACGTAAGCCATGAATTCCCAAAGTCAAAATTTTTTTGAAATGCACTAAATGCACACAGTGTGTGTCCGGAAGGGTATAAGAGTAATTTTGATATTTGATACAATATTTTATTACACATTTTTTCATAAAAAGTCAAAAAATTATCCTAAACATACATCTTTTTTCTCTCTACTTTTTTAGCTAAAAAGTCAAAAAATACACTCATATAGATCATCTCAAGCAACCTCTTAGTCTCATAATTTTTTGTGTAAAGTCAAAAGTCCTGTTTGCCTTCTTGAGCAAATTTCTCTTTCTAATATACAGTCACCGGCGACCACTATCGATTGGGGGTTCACCTGCAACTACTAAACACCAATTCCTTATTTCGCCCTCACTGACGACAAAAAAGATAAGTTTTCAATGAAAGAGATGCATAGATCTACATCAAATCCAACTATATCTAAATTAAAAATAGTTATTAGAGTACAATCTTCTCTCTATATCTATCTCTTTCAGTCAATCTTTCAATTTTTCTTCTTTTTTTCTGCTACACACTTCTCCTTTCCTATTTTAATGGAGAAAATTTTCAAGTTCTATACAATTTTTTTCTTCAAGTTTAGTTACAGGCGGTGAAAATTATAAATTTTTCTAATTTGAATTTTTTAGATGTTAAAATGAATCATACTTTAAAACTGTAAAATTTGTGTAGTTTCATAACATTATTTAAAGTGTAAAATTTTACAATTTAGTAACATGTTTTTCAGTTTGATTAATAAGTAGAAATGCTTAATAGAATTATGCATTGAAATTGTAAAAATTTTACAATTTCAAAGCATGCTTTTCAGTTTGATCAATATAGGAGATTATTTGTTTAAAGCATACAAAAATTGAAAAATAACTTATATTTTTTCTCCATTTGTTACTCTCTTTTTTTTCTTTTTTCCTTTCAGTTTATTTAGCACAATTTTGCTATGATTTTTCGCTCTAATTTCTCCATTTTTTTTGGGTAATATTCTGAACATTCCGATGAGTCTCTGACGATATTCTTGACGTCCAACGACGTTCTAAATATTTTGGCAACTTCCAATGATATTTATAACACTCCGGTTAATTTTTGACAATACTCCAATGACTTTCTAGCGATGTTAAATATTTCAGTGAGTCTCTGGTGACTATGTAATGAAAGTCTGACAGATGTGGGATGTGACAACATATTTAAATTTTTTTAATAAAAGATTTTTTATAATAATTAAAAATATATAAAA